TATTAAGCTTACTAAAGCTTTGATAGAGAGTGGATATAATCAAAGTGCATTTGATCATTCTTTATTTACCAAAAAATAAGGAGATTGTCTAGTAGTCATTATCATCTATGTGGATGATTTGCTAATTACTAGTAGTCATCAAACACTGATAGAAGATGCAAAAATGACCCTACACAATAGATTTTAGGTAAAGGACCTTGGGGAGTTGAGATACTTTCTTGGTATTGAAGTGCTGAGATCCAAAAAGGGAACATTACTTAACCAAAGAAAGTATGCTTTGGAGCTTATTTCTCAAGTTGGCTTGAGTGGATTTAAACCTGCTGTTGATACCCAATTTTTTCTTCATATATATTTAAATATACCTACATACTTTCAAATATTGCATACAAATTTACAAACATGCACAAATATTTTTATAATTTTTTCTATAATTTTAAAGAGCTTAAAATAATTTATTTCTGTATTTTTATTTATACAAATATTCAATAACTATTCCTCATATTTATTTTTATGAAGATTTGATTATCTAAATTCATCATTCTATACCCATATAATGCTTAAATATTTTAGTTGCATTTTTTACAATCACATTTGTATTTTTAGGCTAGAAATTGCATATTTTTGCAACAATAGCCTATATATATGCAAAATTATATTATCCATACAGAAAATAACTTTTCATATTTTTATAATATTAAGTAAGTATTCTAAAGCATTTTCATGCACAAATCACATTTTTATCATTTATAAAATTATTTTACTAAATTAATTGAGTATTTAAAATCTAGCCCTAGAAAATACCCAATTTTAAACCTAGCCTAGTCCAATTACCCATACCCGTCCAACCCACACCCAGACCCGAATACCTGCCCCACCTAGCATTTAATCCTAGCCGTTGATCTCAGAAGATCAACGGCCCTAAATCAACCACCGCCTTTTAATATAACAAAACCCCAACCCTACCCGTTTTCTTCCAGACCCGCCGCCCTCATATGCTCTCATCTCTTACCCCTCTCTAACCCTAGCGCCATCACCTATTATCTCCTCCGATTTCGACCTAAAATGGAATCAGCTATGGGTTCCCTTGCATTATCGGTCTCTCTTCACCGCTGGTTACTCGTCTACGACCCTATTTAGTTGCTTCTAAACATGGCAAAGCGAATCTAGTCAAGATCGAGACAGATCTGGTTCAAGATCTTTCATGGCTTGACTATTTCCGTCTATATTCATTCCAATAATTGTGAGTACGAATACCTTCGTATTTTAGGGTTTCAAATCTCCTGTTTAAACCAGATTTGGTTCAACTTCTGTTTATTTTATGAATCTGGCTAATTTTTGGTTGGATCTGTTTAGATCTTCTCCGATCTGAAACGGTTTCATGTTTATTTTGGTATTCCTTCTTTAATTTTTCAGTACTTCCACCTCAATATCTTATGATCTTTCCTTATTATTATTCCTAACTAATTTTGGTTTACCTTAAGAATAGGGTCTTGATTTCAACGGGTTTTTCTACAAATACTTAACTTTTAAATGTTTTCGTCTCCGAGTACCTATTCGGGTTTCCTTATTTATTCTTGTTTGCTATATGCTTCTGTGTTTCTGCCTAATCTCTTATAGTTCTGATCATTTAATCAATTATTTTGCCACTTCTGCCCGTTTGCCTTAAACTTTGTCGACTAATTGTTAATTAATTTTATTTACCTAAATTAGAGCTTGAAATTGGGCTTTCCTTAATACCGGTGTTTCCTTATTAGATTTTACCTTCTTACCTTATGCATAACTATAAATTGATGTTTCTAGCCTGATTTTATGCTTTGATTTTTCAGAACCAACTTCTAATTGATCTCGGAGTTAGTTCTTGCCTTATTTAACCTAGACCTTAATTACTGATTGATTCCATATACAATTTTCCTTAAATTAAGTAATACTAGTCTGATTTTGTGGCTAATTTTTTCATGACTGACTTCACTTGATCGATTATGTGATTATTTCTTACCTTATTAACCTTGCTCTGATTTACTAAGGGATTCCGTGTGAGACTTCCTTAAATTAAGTACCATTTATGTGATTCTGGCCCCTTAATTAAGTCATGACTAATTGTTAATTGATTTCCATACCTTATGTGCATATGATTGGCTCATTACCTTATGTGTCCTACTCTATTGCATACTATAAAATCCTCATTGTTCTGGTTCTCGACAGACATCAGTTCACAATATACACACACACTCAAACTATTCTCTTTCTTTGCTACTTGTGTTACTTGTGCTATTGTGGGTCTAGCTAAGGCTAGATAGTGAGGCTACTTGCTCTATATTCTGTACTCTTTTCCCTCAACTGGTATGTCTCTAGTTACATTTGACACCCAAACTCTATGTGTTTCATCCCTGTATTAGTTCGTTGGTTATGGATTTGACCTATTCTCTTATTCACTTCTCTGTTCAAGCATGCCTAAAGTTCTGCTCTGCTCTATGTGCAACTAATATGTTTACACTTCACATGTTTATTTGATGCTTAATCATCCTGTTTAACTTATGCTTAACTGTGTGATCATGTTGGTTACTTAAGCCTATGGTTAATCCTACTTGTGTGCCTGATTCTATCCTCTACGCCTTTGCTCCATGTTTAGTGCCTGCTATCCTGGTTAATTTGTTAAGGCTATAAGTGTTCTATGTATATTACTGCCTATTTCTCTCCCTGCACCCCATTCATGCACCCTTAATAAGATCTCCATGTGTTCCCAATCCCTTTTCACCCCTGTGTGCAATCATGCTTGCTAAAGTGTTTGGGAATTGAATCTTCTGTGATCTATTGACTGTCTACTGAATCTGCTCTCCTCTGAACTATTTTCAAAATGTGTTTCTCTAAAAAACTGGTTCCATCCCTAGCATCTTCTTAAAACTGATCTATTCCAGAAAATCTTTTACTCCTAAGAAGTTGTCTCCACATTGTTTTCACTAAGTCTTTTCAAGCACTCTCACTTACTCTTAGGTTATTTAGCTCTTCCCCTTTGGTATGTGTACTGCCTAGGGATCCTTGAGATCTCTCCGAACTCTAGCATATCAGGGCTGGCTCTTCCATACTGCACATAATCAGTCTTTACTTAAGAAAGGTCTTGGTGTGAGCACTGCCCGGGATCCTTGAGGTCCTTAGGGAACTCTGACACACCTAGACACTTGTTGGCCAGGGAACTTTTGAGCATTTGAGACTACATTGAAGGCCCATCCTATCCAGGTGTATTTGGTCCTTCTGCAGGCTTCCTATAGTCTATATACTCTGTAATTCATTCATTCGATTATGGGCTGTAATAATTATTTGTAATAACAATTGGGGTAATAATAAATGGGGAAATGGGCTTACTTTTTTATATTTTGCATGAAATGGGTAGATAACATGCCTATATGTGTTTACTTTACACTATTGTATGTTAGATAACCTGCCTATGGCTTTACTTCATTCAAAAGCACTCTGCTATTGCATGTTTGAAAACTTACCTAGATGTTTACTCTAATCACTATCGCGTGCTAGATAACATGCCTATAGGGTTTACTTTGGCTCAAATGTGCTTTGTTAGATAACCTGCCTATAGGGTTTGCTTTGGTTGAAATAAGTTCTGCTTACTTTGCTTTATATGATTAGACGCCATGCCTATAGGGAATAAAATAACTAAGGTTCAACTTTCATTACGACATATATTCAAATCTGTCTCTTTAGAAATCATGCATGTAAGTTTAATTGGTTGTCACACTTTCTCAGTCAGTATGCGTGTCTAATAAGAACTAATAGTAGTTTCACTCGTTAGAGATAGAACTCATGTCCATAGGGTAATTACCATATGCATTAAGTACTAAAACTGGAACTTCATATAGTGTCTTATTAAATGTCACTAGAAAGCATGCGTATAGGATAAAAATTTCAAACTGTTTCCCAGAATCGTGACTGCATATACACACTTAGGCAAGCCTTAGGACGTTAAATAATTGGAAACCAGTTCTGTTTATGTGTGAAATTATTCAGGCTTAACAGGCTATAAAACCAGTAGGCAAACTGGTTAGGATTTTGCCACTTCCCTTAAAACAAACGATGCATGTCCTGTTTTGTGATGTTCATCTAGATATCATGTTCCTAGGCTTTCTGAACTTATTCAAAATCAGTTGTTCGAGACGTGCTGCTTATTTGCTTATGTACATGTGGAGATAAACATGAGCCTTAACTTCTTTTTCCCTATTTAATTGTCCTATATGTTCTTTGCTTGTCGCCTAGATTTTCCCTTTTAAACACCTTAGGCTGTCTAGAACTGTCCAGATTTAGAAGTCCTAAACTCCTCCAGGACCACAAGGACGGGACGGGTAGCAGCACGCTTAGAGGTCGTTAATTAAACTCGCTTATGTAACCACTAAGGGGAGGGTAATGGGTAGTAAAAGGATATGATGACCTGCGTGCTAATGTCACGGGTAGCCCCTCTAGTTGAGGAGGATTACCGGGCATTGCACAGATTGATCCTGTAGGCTAATCAACTTAGAACTTCCCTTTCCCAATTCCTATATGTGTTTCTTGACATATACATGTGTAAGTTGTCCAAACCTCTCTTACTTTCATTATCTGAATTTCCTTGATCATATATGTATTTGGAATGTGAAAACTACCTTTATTTGCAAATATGTGTTGAAACTGTTTACTTATGACTAATTCACATAGTTTAAGTTCGGTCGGGACCTATCGTTGTGGACCGCGAGGGGTGCCTAACACCTTCCCCTCGAGGTTATTTCGAGCCCTTACCCTAATTTCTGGTAATGTAAACTAGTTGCATGAGTTAATCGCTCTAGGTGCCCTAACGCACCATAATCCGTTAGGTGGCGACTCTTCAAATACCCAATACCCAAAAGGAAATGAGTTGTTCCCCCATGAATGTCAAAATCCGGACTCCGTGAAGGAAAAATAGGGCGCGACACCTGCTAAGACACCTTTGGAACTTAATCAAAAGTTGACCAATGTTGATTATGATAGAGCTTGAAGATGCCACAACATATCAGCAGTTAATTAGAAAGCTCCTTTACCTTACCATCACTAGACTAGATATTAGCTTTGCAGTTCAGAGCTTAAGCCAGTTCATGCAGCAACCTAAACAATCACACTTGGAGGCAGCCTTTAGAGTGGTTAAATATCTCAAAAGTTGTCCAGGCTTGGGTGTGTTATTACTTACTGGTCCTATTACTAATTTGACTGCCTATTGTGACTCAAATTAGACTTCCTGCCCTAACACAAGGAGGTCAATCACTGGATATGTTTTCAAGTTAGGTGAGGCACTCATTTCTTGGAAGTCTAAGAAGCAGTATACTGTAAGCATGAGCTCTGCAAAAGCTGAATATAAGAGCATGGCAGCAGCAGTAGCTGAAGTCACTTGGGTTGTTGGTCTATTGCAGGAGTTGGGACTCACTATATCCCAACCCGTGTCCTTGTTTTGCGATAACAAGGCAGCTATCTAAATTGCTAGCAATCCCATTTTCCACGAATGCACTAAGCACATTGAAGTTGATTGTCATTTTTTGCGTGAAAAAATCAAGTCTGGGCTAATTCTTCCTCACCATATTTCTTCTGCTCAACAGCTTGCCCACCTACTGACCAAAGGCTTACCTACTGCTCAACATCAACTTCTCTTATCCAAGCTTGGCGTGTTTGATGTCTTTCACCCACCAGCTTGAGAGGGAGTATTGAGTGAGGGGTAGTTTAGTGTATTAAGAGAGGGATAATTTTATCATTTCACAGACCTTCTCCACTAACCACTGTGAAGTGGTTATATTAGTTAACATTGTATCTTCCAAAAGATAGTTAATACATAGATTAGTTCTTTTCCTCCTTCTTTCTACTTTCTCTCTCTATGATATTGTCCAATTTGTTAATTCTTCAATTGCATGTGTATGAATCTGAGTTTATGAGGATAGATATCATACTCTATCAATAACATACAACAGTAATCACATAACTTGAGAGGCAAATCTAGGATTTGAACTTTATGGGCACGAGTTCGAACTTTACAATAGTCCATTTGAGTTACTGCATTCGAAATCTATAATATGTACTAATATAGTGAATCTTTTAACGCATGTACAAGGTCAGAGCTAAAGCTATTGGGTTCGGATGAACCCATATCTATTACACCACATCCGCCATGCACAGCTTTGCACTCTTAATATAAATATGGCAGTCGCTTGCCCAACATGAACAAGCACAAAAGTGCCTTAACATTGCCACCCAATTTCAACCAATCCTAAGCTCAGCAACAGATATAATTCTAGTAGACTGTTATGTTTCAAACTGCTTGCCTTGAAAGGTCTGACCAAAATTCCAGTTCTTGGGAGCAACATTGTAAGATGTCAATGTAACTCCATCACTACTAGTAATCTCAAAAGAAAGTGGCTGATTCTTCAGATCAGCATTGATGTGCCAGTTTTGGCCCCAATTCCTACCCATAGAAAGCCATCCTGTTCTGGAACCCTTAATTTTTGCTGCCACTATATCACCAGCACCTGCAACATTACTGATTAGAACTGACAAGAATATTCCAGCACCATCGAGAGTGAACCGAACTCCTCCTTCCTTTCTGCACTTTATTCTGTTGGAAATTATGAAGAAAACCGTCATATATCCATAAACTGACCGTTCAAAACAGAAAGAACTAAAGTATTACCACAAAATTGCACTTCCCAGAAATAAGGAAAATATACAAAAAAAAACTGGCACATATATGGCGTCTTGTTGGGATCTAAATCTAAGGAAGAATTGTCACGAGACTAGAAGTGGATGAACACCAAATATTACGTGGAGAGAAGGAAGATTCTTACCACTTGGTACTTTATATGCAAAGTGGCAGGTGAACAGGTTGATTATCTGTGGGCGCTGGTATTTTATTTAGCAGCAGACAACTTGAACAAAAAAGAAGATTCACATCAGCTGGTACCTTATATGTGAAAAGGCAGGTTAGCAGGTCGATTGTCGGCTGGTGCACTGTGAGATAGCGACATAGCTGCTCTCTATGCTGCTCAATTTTTTTATGAGCTGCGTAATGCTAAGACTACAAATGACCTGGTGTGGAGCTGGAAGATAGAGGTAAGAGTTGTTGAGGATAGGGCATTTGCAGCTATTTGCAGTCCATTTAAATGCGCTAATGTGGACTATATGGAGAGATAGAAACCAGGGCCTCTCAACAGGTGGGGAACCCCAAAATCCAGTTTTTTAAATATTTTGTTATTTATTGTTCTACTTTTGGAGCTTGAAATGTATACCAACTTATATTGATGATTAGATGAGTTTTACCACAGTAATACTTTTTAACATGAACGAGTCCTCTTATGCATGGGGGTTTCCCTTTTTTCTTTTCCTTTTTAGGCTATAAGGTTGTAGAAATCTACTAGATAATGTTAGTTGCTAAAGAATGCAAATGCAGGAATTCTCATCATAAAATTCTTACCACAAACATATAATGCAGATGGCATATGCAGTGCTGAAATTCTATATAATGTTAATACTTAGTCACTTGTGAACCTAAACATATCAAGTTAGCGTTCCCGATCAAACATTCCTGAAGACCTTTTATGTAATTTTAGAGCCAAAATGTCAAAAGAAAGATCATACAGCTTGAAAGCTTTCCAGATATCCTGAGAGGTTACAAATTTCCACCTCATTAGGGGCGGAATCAAATTGACATTTCAATGTGATATTACTCTTTTAACACGAGAATGCTCCAGAACTTATGGAAGTTCTTCATAATACCCGATGAAACCAAGCAAACCCTACATGACTTGGGGGTGCGTGTGGGAAACGCACCAGATTAGGCCAATTAACACGGATGCATTGACTACAACTATCGCGGAGAAGGATAAGTTGGCTGGTATTTCTGTTTCAACTTTTGGGGTTTTAAAAAGCAGTTAGCACATCTCTACAAGAGAAAGCGGAGTTAAGTTACATAGATCAAGTTACTAACTTTCTGTTCCGATTCAATGACTTCTTAATTTAATTTTTTGTGTGTGTGTGAGAGAGTGTGAGACGTGTGAATGTGTAGCATATATTTATTAGTTGTATCTCATTCATACCCGTACTCTTATCCATATTCCCAAATCCAAAGATTTAGGTGATGAAGAATCTGACTTCTAAATTTGGACTCATATCGGATTCCTGTATGTGCATACATGTAATATAGATTTCTCCAAATCTGCGTTATCACAATCCATGACCATATGTACTCTGACTTTAGAAGCTACACTTTACAAAAGTAAGTCCATTTATAATGGTGCTGAAGGAAGTGTTCGTATTATGGGCAAGTCACTAGACATCATAGAGTAATCTGCTGATTGATACCCTCAAGCTTTCCTCCAAAACACACAGATACAACAGCGCAATAAAGCTGTTTCTTGTAGAAAGGAAACGGCTGATTCAACTAGTTAACTATCCTTGTCAACGTAGTACTAGCTAATTATGATATGCAAGTAATCTATAAACAGTTTACTCTTAGCAATTCCCACCCAACATTCCACTTTTCCGATATCTAATTTGTCTTCTACCTCTTAAAGGGTCCGTTGGATTATCCTGACATACCATAAAAATCATTCGCAACGGATTCTCAAATTGCTTCTGTTCCCTGGCAATTATTTGACTACAAATTTCATCCAAACCTTCCCCAATCTCTCCAAGAGTACAGTCGCTCAAATCCAGCCCTTGAAGTCATGACCATGCATGAATATTTGATCTTTGTATAATTTGCTCACACGACAACTGCTAAGGTAAGACAATAGCAAGAAGCTAAAATGTTGCTTTTCTATGCTGGTCAAAACCTATGCTGCTGTACTTTTTTCTAATGCCCGTCACTGCAACAACAACATACCCAACATTATCCCATACCGTGGTGTCTGGGGAGGGTAATGTGTACGCACGCCTTACCCTACCTTGTGAGGATAGAGAGGTTGTTTCCAATAGACCCTCGGCTCAAGAAATCATAAGCACCACATTAATGAAAATATAGACAAGAAGAGACAGCACCAAAAAGCCATATAAAAGCAGAATAAAAACAACAAGATCGTAAGATGACCAACAATTAAAGAAAACAACGATTAGTCATAAAAACCTACTACAAACAGAATGCGAGAATGCGTGCTAATACTACCGGTATGACCCGTCACTGCTTCTGAACTTTAAGTTCTTTCTTACAAGGAACTAGGAAGATTTTACTGATAGATTTTTCTACAGGCAGTGGTATTATAAATATAAATGGATATTCAAACTAACTCACAGAGACATATAATGCATATCCTTCAGCAAATAGGATCATACCTCTATATTGAAATGCAGTACAGCTTTGGCCACAAATACATAAAACTGCAGAAATATTTCATGCTACTTGTACATTCTAGACATGCTTTGGATTGTGTAGAATGTCTAATATTTGGTTTCGGCGCAGTAATTTATCTCTGCGTTGATTGTAATCAATGTTTGCGAAGTTTTACCGTAGATCTTGGGGAAAAGGTATAAAAACACCCCTCTCAAATTATCAGTAACACACTTATACTTTGCAACCTTCCTATGATCCCGTGGACTTTTTTGAAGGGAAATAATTAACACTCTAAACTTGACAATCTTCTTATTCCATAACCTTAGTCACTGGCAAATTAGTCCAGGGTTGCATGCAAACTTGCTCGAACTATAAAATAAAAAAAATAAAAAAAAAAGGGAGAGCGAAAATTACTCTAGCAGCACGTACCTGCGATATTGAATGGGCATATTGGAAGCTTTCCAAATAGCAATTTTCTCAAAGGCTTCAATGGGCAACACAAAATGTGCATTAGGAGGGTTACAATGGCCCCCGCCATCTGGTTCAAACCCATAATTGGGAGCACAAAAATTCGTCGCCGTCACAATAATTGATGTACCGGGAATGCACCACCGCAGGTCCTCCACACACCTGACTTGAAAGCACGCACCGCAGATCTGACCCCTGTCAAACAGCACAGTGCTAAGACCAGCTGTGGATTTACCATAGCCGTTTCTCTCCAAATCCCCGTACCCGCACGCGCCGCCCACAACGTCACGTGGGTCCGCGGCGGCGTAGTAGGTGGCCCGTGCTGGTCGCCACTCTGTGGTGGTGGAAGATGGAGACCAGTTATAGTGGGAATGGGCGAACGACATCGTGGAACAGAGTGTGAATGCTACTAGGAATAGTAGCACTAGCATATCTGAGAGAGTGAGAATTGAACGAGTATTTGCTCAAATTGCTGAAATGGAGGTGGATGATTTTAATATACTTGGGATTCTGGAAATAATCAATAATGTGAACATGGTAAAGCTACATTATTTGTTGTTGATGTTAATAGTAGCACTAGCATTAGCAGCTGTTAGTGGAGTTTTGGAGTAAAGTGAAGCAGAGTGGGGTCATTTGCTCCTTTTTTGAACTTTTGAACGTTGGCGTTTTTCAATTCTCAGCTTGGACTATGCTAGA